GAGAGGGTCCGGGGCGGGGCGGGAAGGAGCGGAGAGGCGGGATGCCGAGGGCCAGGCCGGGAGGGTCCGTACCTGCAGCTCCGCCCGCTCCACCTCCCACTGGGCTCGCTCCACCTCGAAGCGGGCCCACTCGTGCTGCAGGAAGTGCAGGATCCCGGGGAGGCTGTACTGGGCTCGGGCCGCCCCCGCCGCCGTCGCCCCGTCGCCGGCCGCGGCAGCCTCCGCCAGAGGCCCGATCCCCTTAGCACCGCCGGCGCCCGGATGGTTGTTGCTGAAGAAAACGCCGGGACCCGCCTGTTCGTCCATGGTGGCCGCAGAAACCCGGGCTCAGCCCAGGCGCCCAGCCGCGGAGGCAACAGCGGCAACCAGCAGTACCTCCACCTCCTCCTCCCGCCGCCGCCGCCGCCGCCGCCGCCGCCGCCGCCGCCGCCGCTCCCCGCCCACACCCCAGTCAGCAGGGAGCAGCCGCCTGGACGCGGAGGCCCGGCGAGCCCGTGACGGGCCGGGAAGTGGGTCAACTGCGGCGCGCGGCGCGCGGGGCTCGCCGGGAAATGTAGTTTCGGAGGGCGGAGCGTGCAGCGCAGCAGCCTGTGGGGCTGCTCGCCTGGCTTTGGGGGCGGGGCCGCGGCTCCGCCCCCATCCCCGTCGCCCCGCCCATGCCCCGCCCTCCGTGGGGCGGGGAGCGGTCGGTTTCCTCTGGGCGGGCAGGGTGGGCTTGGTCTGTGCTCCGCTCTGGGCCGCGCCAACGCAGCTTCGCTTGCACGCGGAAGTTCTCGAGCGGCGCTCCCTGTTGCACACACACACACACACACACACGGAAGTTATCGCGCCAAAATGCCAGTCCAAGCCGCACTTCTTTTAGGGCTTCCTGGTGGTTCGTTTAAAAAGAAGACAAGCTCGCGATGCGCCGCGGTTTCAGCCCCGGCCGGCAGTGCTCTGCCTTCCGCTCGGATCCCGGACGGCGCCCACCGCCCGTGCCGGGCCCAGCGCCGCCGCGTCGCACGGGGGTCGCCGTCACGCCTGCCTTTGCTCTTTTCCTTTTTAAAACCTGTTTCCTGACCACTTATCAAGAACTCTAATTCGTTTCCCTGGGAGTCCACGCCTCGGCTCCCTGGGGTTTCGCCTCAGAAAAGTTCCTGGGCTTTGAAGTCCCCTTCTCCTCGCAGAGCCCAGCAAACCCGGTCGAAGCTTAATTAGCTATCTAATTACAGGTGCTGTGGCTGGTGGGTTTGGTTTCTTAAGCCTCGCCTTTCCTGTCCTTCCTGCACAGCTTTGACTCCGTTTAATTGGACAGAAGTATCTAGACTAATGTAACCCGCACGACACGGCCCAGTGGTGCTGGAGAGCTCTCTGGAGTGTCCACTACCTCTCCTTTTTTCATTTGTTTTTGTTTGTTGTTTGTTTACTGTTTTCTTTCCATCTTTCACCTGTAGGGTATCAGCCTTCTACTCATCAAAGTCCTTTTCTGTTAAGTGACTGAATATTTCCTTCTCTGGATTCCCCCCTCCCATTAAATCACAACAAAATCACCCAACACGGATGGGAGAAAAGACGGTGCCTGAAAAATTTGGAAGGAATGAAAATGAAATTATTACTGCTTTTCAAGCTATAACTAGTTCTCTGTAATCCTACTAGGTTCTTTTTGAAGGGGGGGCGGGGGACGCGGAGGAATGAACTGTAAGATTCCAGACCCCGTAGCTATGGGAGTTTTTGTTTTTTTAAAGAGTATATAGGGTAATGAGTGACATGCAAGGGAAGGACATCCTGTCCCTGTCCCCTCTCCCCTCCCCCGTTCCCATGGGTACTGTGGAAAAGACAGGAAACACATTGTATCTGCTCTGGTTGCAAATAAAGATGGCAAGCTCTCTTCTCCCAGTTACTGAATGTTTCTGCTTTGTGAATTCATTCTTGATTATCATAAAAAGTTGATCCAGGCCTGGCCACATTCCCTGCGTCATAAATTACTTGGGCTGTGAATGTCCTTTGAGATGCGACCTAATCCTCTCATTTAAACTCAAGAAACTATAGTTCAAAGAAATCGAGACTCGTCCCTGGTGAGAGAAAGAAAAACTTGGAGTGAGTGAAAGTCAAAGCTAGCACCCAGTTTGCCTGCCAGTTCAGTGACAGCTTCGTTAACAGGATGACTTCTCTCTTATTAGCCTTACCGGATTACTACCAAAGCATTCTGCTTTTCATATGACAAATGTAAATAACTTTACAAATTTAAAAAGAGCTTTTATTTCTCTAATAGAAGACATGACTGACACTTCCCTTAAGGCAATTCACATCAGAATATAAAACATAATTACATTTATAATCTAGAATACAACATACTTTAAAAAGCACTGTTTCAATTCATAAACTTTACTACTCGCAATGCTTTTTTTTGTTTTGCAAGGACATAATTACATCCAAAATAGTATTAGTGATCCGTTATCAGTACTATTTATTATAAAAAATACTAAGAATAGTTATAGTAAATTGGGATTATGAAGAAATGATTTCTCACATTGAAAAATTTTCCACCAAGCACCAGTGGCTCATGCCTGTAAGCTGAGATTTGAGAATCAAAGTTCAAAGCCAGCCCGGGTAGGAAAGTCTGTGAGACTCTTATCTCCAATAAAGCACTAGAAAACCAGACATGGCTCCACGGCTCAAGCAGTAGAGCACTTGCCTTGAGCTGAAGAACCCAGGGACAGCACTCAGACCCAGAGTTCAAGCCCCACAACTGACAAAGAAGAAAAAAATTTCCATGTGGTAATATTTGGTGTGTAGTTTGACCAAAAAACAAAACAAAGCATTTTTAGGTAGAAGGCCTTCTCTTAAAATTCCTAAATTAATTTAAGAAAATAAATGAATGGAGGGAAGGTAATGGGAGAACAAGGGAGGGGGTAACAATGCTCGACAAGAAATGTTAAGAAAGAAGGAAAAGGGGGCTGGGAAGGTGGCTCAGTGGTAGAGCGCTTGCCTTGCATGCATGAAGCCCTGGGCTCAAGTGGTAGAGCGCTAGCCTTGAGCTGAAGAGCTGAAGGACAGCACCCAGACCGAGTTCAGGCACCCCGACCAGACCCAAAAAAAAAAAAAGAAAGAAGGAAGGAAAAGGAAGAAAGGAAGGAAGAGAAAGAAAGAAAGGAAGGAAGGAAGAAAGAGAGAGAAAGAAAGAAAGAAAAGGGAGGGAGGGAAGAAATTAATGGAACACCTCTGATATGAATCAATTTTGAAACAGTGTTTGAGTAATGAGCTGTCCCTTTAAGTGATTTGTAGCCTCTGGCTTTAAATTAAGTTTTTAAAGTAATTTAGTGTATATAAAAATGCACAGAAGTGGGCTGGGTGCCAGTGGCTCACACCTGTAACCATAGCCACTCAGGAGGCTGAGATCTGAGGACTGCAGATTTCCTGCCAACCTGGGCAGGAAATTCTGTGAGACTTTTATCTCCAATAAGCCACCAGAAAGCTAGAAGTGGCACTGTGGCTCAAGTGATAAAGTGCTAGCCTAATGTTGAAGAGCTGAGGGACAACAACCAGGCCCAGTGTTCAAGCCCCACCACCAACAAAATAATAAATAAAAAATTACACAGAAGTATTAAATGAATTTTCACAACTTCTGAGTACCTACAACTCACATGGTGAAATGGATCATAGGCCTTCCAAAGTCTGCTTCTGATGTATATTCTTAGTCACAATACCAAGAATCCCTTTTGAATTTGAAAACTGAAAAAAAGTAACTAAAGATGTGACATTTGTAATAAATTAAACGTAAACCTATTTTTCCTTTGTAATTTTCCAGATTTAAAAATATTGAGCAAATGGCCTATTTGTCTTATAAAGTAACCCCTTACCATAGTAGCTAGTATATAGCTGGTATATACTGTATATAATGACCATTATCTAATACAGTTTTACAATAGTAATACATACTGGGGCAAAAGTCTCTGGTAAATAGTAGGAACTCAACCATTGTTCCTTTTCCTTTCTCACTCCATATTCAGAATACTAATATAGTAGAATTAAAATAATTTTAAAACAAAGATAAGGTAACCTTTAACTATCAGACCTAAAGGGGTTAATCTTTTCATTATATGTTTATTAAGGCCTAAGTGAAATATAAATAGGGTAGGGTTCCCTTCACACACACAGAACAACTGTGGAAGTGCTAAGTTACATTAGTACAACTTGTTTAAAGTGAAAACTGTGAAGTGCCAAATGGTTATTCGGATAATAGAAGTGTTTGCTACTTTTTGGTTTATATGTGTGTGCCTTGTGGGATTATAGCTCCATTAAGTTACAATTTATGTGTGTTTTCTTTGTTGTTGGGGGTTTTTGTTTGTTTGTTTTTTGGTCAGGCATGGGCTTGAATTTTGGGCCTGGGTGCTGTCCCTCAGCTCTTCAACTCAAGGCTAGCACTCTACCACTTGAGCCACAGCAGCACTTCTGGTTTTCTGGTGGCTGATTGGAGAGAATCTCATGGACTCTGGTGCCCAGGGCTGGTTTTGAACCACAATACTCAGAGGCTGAGGCCTCCTGAGTAGCTAGGATTACAGGCATGAGCCACCAATGTCTGGCACAATTCATGTTTTCTTTTTTTTCTTCTTTAAAATGAGTGTGTAAGGGCTGGGAAGGTGGCTCAGTGGTAGAGCACTTGCCTTGCATGCTCGAGGCCCTGGGTTCGATTCCGCAGCACACATAAGAAAAAAGCCGGAAGCAGCACTGTGGCTCAAAGTGGTAGAGTGCTAGCTAGCCTTGAGCTGAAGAGCTGAGGGACAGCCCCCAGGCCCAGAGTTCAGGCCCCATGACCGGACCCCCCCCCCAAAAAAAGAAAGTAAAATGAATGTGTAAATTTTTAGTTATTTGTGTCTGAATCTTTACATTTTACTCAGGGTAAAAGTTTCAAATTCAACTTGATAGTTCTTTCTGGGCAGGTAAAAAGAGCGAAAGAACTGCCTCAGAAAACTGAGACAGGCAAATCAGAGTTTCAGGCTAAATAGTGAGAACCTGTCCACTCCTCAAATAATTTAATTTATTTATTAAATAGAATCTAACAAATTTAGCTATTCAAACTTACATTTTTAAATTAATTTTGTAATGTCTGTATTTATAGAAATCAGTAATTCAAAGCTAAAATTGAGATTGTTTGAATAAATCTAAACATCTAACACAGGACAGACAAAAATGAGAATATACTCCTAAAGTTGTAGCAAAACTTCTCCAGGAATGACAATGATGACCAATTTTGGTCTATTTCTCTAAGCAGAGTAATTAGGTTCTGAACACATGCTTCTTTCTTTTCCTACAACCGCATCCATGCTTTCTCTTAAATTTTCCAGCTAATTAAAACTCAACAAATTTTGTGGTTTTTTTAATGTTGGTATGCCCCATTTGTAAGTCAAGAACTGAATTTCA